GGAGGTTTCTGCCCGTTTAAAGGCAGTTTTTCCTCCCCAATGTCGCCAAGTGCTTGCTCAGAGGGGATTATTGGGGTTTTCTCTCTGCCTTTTTTCTTCATTTATTTGCTTGTTTAAGTTTTTTTCCCCCAACTTATCTAAATAATAAACCAATTGAATTTATCCTTTGAGTATTTTTCATCTCATCTTTACAGAATTTTTCCAAAACATTTTCAAACATTCAGATCTGTCTTTTATTTTCTTCTTGAAACCTAAATGGAGAAACACATTGTGCACGCACTTTACTTCTCAAAGAAAAATGCTGCTTTCTCATTTTTTTAATGTAGTGCTGGCATCAAATTACAAATCTAGTGTATAGCATGTTTTCTTCTTCAAAACACAGTAAAATCTGGTATTTTGTCTTTCAAACATTTTTTTTTTTGTTAAAGTAAATGAAACCCTTTGTAATTCCAATTTGACAGAAGGCACTGTTTTCCTATCTCTCCGGGATTAAGGACGGTTATTTTTGCTCCAAACACCATAAAATTCTAGAGAGCAAATCCTCTTACCTCGCCTGCCCCTTGGAAGACAAAACTGTGGTCTGACAATTTGTTCTTGGTGATCTTTAAAGCTGCTAAGATCCCTGCAACAGCTACAGAAGCCGTGCCTGCAGGAAAAACAAAACACTCGTGATTGCAGTCTGAAGTCTCTCTCATGATCTCTTACAGTGAAACGCTGTACAAACAACAAACAGAAAAGGATTCGTATGAATGTGGTCAGGTACAAGAATGTGGTTGAAAATCAGTGGAAAAAAGCAGTCAATGTCCAGAGAAAACCCTCAGGTTAACTCTCACCTGAGAGGTGAGAGTTAATAGTTAACAGGTGAACTGTGAGTGCACGATGACAATACGGAAAGTAAAGATGGTGAAATTTAAATAAATACTTTTTGATGTGTTGAAGTGAAACTTTGTAACTATTGAAAGAAAATTAAAGGGGCAATATTATCAGAACTTACACTGATGTTTTTAAATTTCCATGTGTGGTTTTCTTCAGCTAGTATGACCAGTTACTTTAATTACAAAGCATTAGTTTGATTTTATTTGTATGAAATGCTTCACTGTACCAAACAGCCAGAAAGTAGCTGATCATGGACTTAAGAAGTTTGCTGAAGCAGCAGCTATTTGATTTCCTCTAGGTAACCTGATGCGTTACAGTCACGAAGATAAAGTTTTTCTGATTTCCTTTTTGTTGCAGAACTAAAATGATGATCATCACTGGGGAACAGTTGGTGCTTTATGACTTAGGCTAGTGAGGGCAAATATAACCGCCTGTTTAGAGTAAGCTGCTTTATTTTTACTTCTTTGTTTCATTTTTAGTTTTGAGTCTTCACAGAATCTTGATCTGTGTTGGCTACGTTTTCGTTTGCCGTCTGAAGCATTGTATTTCTGAAACAGAAATCCTGAAATGAGGAAGATTTCAGAAATATGTTACCCAACTGAAACCATCAACATATTGTAGTGTATATTATGAAAGGTAAGACGCTCCTGGCTGTAACGCGATGAGTAATAAAGCACCTTGGATGTCGTCGTTGAAGGTACAGTATCGATTTCTGTACTTGTTGAGGATGCGAAATGCGTTGCTGTTGGCGAAATCCTCAAACTGTATGAGGCAGTTCATCCCGTACCTGTGGAGGAACAGCGTGGTTAGTCTGACATCAGCACTGCCTCCTCATCCTTCATTCACCTGTGCTTTCACTTACTTATCTGTCACTGCTTGCATGAACTCGTCAATCAGTTCATCGTACTCCTTTCCTCTGATTCTCTTGTGCTTCAGCCCAATGTACAGAGGGTCATTGAGCAGTGCCTGAACAGAAGGACGTTTAACGGGTCAGCAAATTAATCAAAGACTTAAACCGTGCATGCATGCATCGGCATCTGTAAACTATTGCCAGATCTTTGAAATTATATCAGATGAACCAGGTTTTATGAGCTGCTATACTATCTCATAAAACCTGATTGCTCTGAGGTTATGCTCACCTGGTTGTCTGTGCCAACATCCAGCAGCACAGGGAGACACTGCTGTGGCCGAACCCCACCGCAGGCTGTGTAGAGCGCCAGCTTCCCCACAGGAATGCCCATCCCATAGCTGCCCAGGTCCCCCAGGCCGAGGATACGCTCCCCATCAGTCACTACGATGGCCTGTGGATGAAGGCAAACACTTTCACTAACGTGTCTGAGACATTATTTTCTCAGAAATCAGCAGGCGCCAGTTTAATTGCGTGCCGTTTACCTTTATGTCTTCTTCTGGCCAGGAGTTGAGCATCGTGGCAATGTGACCTCGGTCATGGATGGTGATGAAGAGTCCTCTGTAAATAAGTCAAGTGATGATACAAGTAATTAAATCTGTTTTCCAACTAACACTGATGCCAATGCACATGCACAAAAATGGCACAAAAATGAGCCCAAAACAAGCATGAGAACAAGGGAAAAAACATTTAAGCCCATGCACACGGTGGGGCTCAAATCTAACCCATTTATTTTAATTAAAGCAAATATCTAACCCAGCACTAGTAAGGTGTACCTAATGAAGTGGCTGATGAGTGGAATGAAGTTTACCTTGGTCTCCTGAAGGCGAGTCCATATTGCTGGCAAGCCAGGCCGACAGTGGGAGTGTAGACGATTGGCATGAACTCCTCGATGTCAGAGGTCAGCAAACGGTAGAACAACTTCTCATTCCTGTCCTGTAGTGTCATCAACAGGATGTACCTGAGACAGAAAAAAACATTATGATGTGTTTCAGAAACGCAGTAGGCCATTTCTGATCTAAATATTTCTGTATAATTACAATGTGTCTAGTAAAAAAATTCCCTAAAACCCCTTTTAAATTCAGTGAACCACTTTGTTCAAGACTGAAATCTGGACAAAATTTTGGAAACTGAGAAAAACTTCTCCCGTGGTTTTGTGCCATTCTTGTTTCATGTAAGATTTCAGTTGCTCAAAGGTTTGTGGCTGTTTTAGACTGCAGGCAGGTCGGTTAACACTCTGACTCTACTACAGGGCCATACTGTTTTTTGAAAAGCACCGCTTAGGTATTACTGCATTTTTGCACCATTTTTAACCAAACAGTTTTAATGACTTGGAAAGAGTCACATATGATGTGTGAAACAACCACAAGTCTGGACACTGCTTTGAAAGCATTTAGCGGGAGCCCTGATAAGCAGCATGTTCAGTGGGACAACCTCACTGAACTTCTGCAGCTGTCGTGTGGTTTCCATCTTGAACAGCACCAGCTTTATTGTTAATGAGTCTGTTCTCTCACTTGTCCAGAGGATTAGTGCGTGTTTCATAGCTCTTCATGACGCGCAGGACTTGGACATCCTGGGACAGGAAGCAGGGGGGTAGCAAGCCGTGGATACCCAGTTGTAAGCGCTCCTCCATGGTGAATGCCATTCCCTGTAGGGCGGAAGAAGGCCGATTATGTAACGCTAAACTAAGTAACCAACTCAGTCAATCCAGACCACAATGACTCATCCTTTAGGCATCACAATGTGAGCTTAATTATGAGTTAGTCATATACAAGCACGGTGGCCTTTTTCATGTTTTTTCTTTATGTAAACCGGTTGCCATCTTTGCACTGAAAACAAATGCAGAGCAAAAAGAACACGTAGTAAACAACAGGAGAAGGAGACTGACGTTTTTTTTTTTCTGGTCAGCAGACTTGTACCCTTCTGCCTTCTGGTTACAGTTACTGCTCTCCTCCCTCTACGCTTGCATTCTTCCCACAAAGAGTGCTCATAGGTGGGGGTGTGGGGTTTAATCTATTTATTCTGTCCAATAGTAAAGGGAGCCTGAACCCACTCCCCTGTCAGCTCGACTTCTCTTTCCTCCTCGTCCTTTCCTTTGATTCTTCCTCTAGTGAAAACACTGACCTACATGGGGGGGAAAAAACTGGCCTTTCTAGGCTCAGCTTGTTTTTCTGTGGGTCTTCATGAGCCCATGTCCTGCAAATTATTCATGCTGGCAGAGTGGAGGGTGAAATATGATAGTGCTATTTACAACTATTACTCCTAGAGTTATTACACAAGCTGCACGCTTTGCATTTTAACTGCGAGTTTCACGCCACGTGGCACCACCGTGCTCGACAATGGGTTCTGCAGCTTAGGGCGGGTCGTTAAATGGAAACGATGATTCATTAGTACATTAAATAACAAAAAAAGATTAGCGTTGAACAGAAAGAAGGAAGGACAACTGTATGGAAAACATTTTAATGTATTCCTGGAAGCAGAGGTGACTGAGAAGAAAGTCACAGATTAACAAAGATGTGCAAAACCTATCAGAGCGAGCAGGTAAAGAGGCGCTAAAGTAAACCCATTAAGGTGACACTCCTCACCAGGAGTTATAATCAACCCACGTTACACACAGCATGTTAGCACACGGAGGAGAAAGTGAAGCTGAAAATGTGGGCTTGTGTGTGAGCTGTAAAGTGCTATTATCTTAACCTTTAAGCAGACCTTATCATTGGTAAAAGATTAAAAGCTGTAATATAGTTTTACAGCAGAATACAGCAAACTAATTCAGTTAAATGTGTTTTTTTAGTTGGGTGAGGGAAGGGGGACTGATTTGGACTGTAACACTGTGTGATCAGAGCTCATCTGGTTTCTATGGAAACACTGAGTGCAGACTGCATACTGTCATCTGTGCTGGAAAGGACTGTTTAACAGAAAGTTTCAAACACAAAGATTTCACTCAGTAGTTTGAAAAGTTGCTTTTTTTCCATCTAAGCGGGGCTTCACTTCCTGATTGCTTGGACTTAACTGACCTATGAATCAGCACGTAGCTGCTGACTCGACACCAGCGCTGGTGGAAGGAAACACGACCGACCTGATATCTAGCAAAATCTGGTGTTTTTGCAGTGCTAGCAAGGCACAAAAAAGTACTCTCTCTGTGAATTCACTTTTTGAAAATGGTGACAGTCTATGTATTTATTACACTCCACAAGGAGAGACAGAGGCAGAGTATGACAGATGTTACAGTAATCTGTAGAAAGACCATTCACAGTTATGTCAGTCTACTATGTTGTATAAATAGCAAGTGCTGTGGCATTCATAGTTTACTTAGGAGCAGTTCAGAGTGTGATATTTTTATTGTACTCTCTGTTTATGTTCCCTCACCATCATACATGGACATCATGTTGCCTGTAGACACAGCTGTGTGACCCAGGCTGGGTTTAAGAAATATGGTTCCTTGCAGTAGTTTGACATTGAAGTTAAAAAAGTATATTAATGTCCTTTGTTATGGCCTTAAAATTATGTGCTTGCTACTACCTCGATGCCTTTTGTGATGCTTTTTTTCCCCCCCCCCAAGCGTTGCTCATAAATGTCAAATCTTTGGTCATTTTACCTTATGTTACACACCCAAGAGAAATACATTTACATTACAATTAGGCTTTGATTATGAAGGCACTATCAGCTCTGGCATGTGGCCTCTCTCTCTGTGTGTGTGTGTGTGTAATACAAACAACATCATACACATTATAAATTAGCTGTGTTACATCAACAGAAGCAACTAAAATCATTAAAAGCCACACAACAGGCAAATCACATCTACATGGACCTAAAGTAGAAGTGACTGATCCATAATAATAATAATAAGCATAATCTGCAGTGGAAAACTCACTGTATGCCGTCATTACCTGATATTAAACATGTGCACGAAGCATTGTAAGATGTGCTGCTTGCCTCACTCTGGATTGGGGAAGCTGTAATACAGGAGAGGCTGTGCTCACCTTGTTGAGGTAGGGGTTTCTGGTGATGTCGTAGCCCCTCTTCTTGGTATTGACGCTCGGCTTGTGGCTTGTCCCGGAGTGGCAGACCCGCACATCTTGGAAAGAGGCCCTGTCGGCCGACAGGACCCCTGCAGCCGGGGCACCTGATAGGACCCTCATCATCCCGCCTGTGGCCGTGCGCCAGCACAGGGACCGTGCGGCTCTTCCTGGGAGAGAGTTCATGCTGCCAGAGGGTAGCAAAGACACAGAAGACATGCTGTGAATAACACGGGTTCAGCTGATCCTGCACTGCAAGAGAGTCTGACCCGGGTCACCAACTAAGATAAACAACAGGTGCTCCGCTCTCAGCAGACCTCACACATACAGTGATAGCACTGAAATGACTCAGTGATGAAGACTTAAGCCGCTGCGATAGGCATGTTTTTACAGAAACCTTGCTCCGTGGCGCTAGCTGCTTTTAGCTTTCTTTACCGGCGGAATGCTGTCAAGCTGCTAATGCTAGCTAGCATGTGGCTAATACTTCGTTAGCCGCTGCCCTCACCTGGAATCTACGAAAAGCTGCTGTCCACCTGACTTCAGTCTTTACAAGCAGACGCTGTGTCTTCTCTGGCCGGGTACTCCGGTTGTTTTTTGTTTTGTTTTTTTTACTTGACGCTGGGGAGGGTGGTGGTGGTGAGGGGAGGAAGGAGGATCGACAGCTAACAGCTGATCCAGACTCACTTCCCTCCTTCAGTCAGCCTCTCCAATCAGCTTGCAGCCTAACCCACTTTCCCCCCTCACAGTCTCCATCCTCACAGCCTCCATTTTCAGCATCTGCACATAGAAATTACACTTTAAGCTCCGTGGATTGGATTACCAAGGAGAACCGCAGTCTGTTTTTAATAGTAGAAGCATGCGCATAAAGTGAATGTTTGCACTTGATCTTCCCGACTGTTCTATATGCAAGTACATTGAAAGTCACTGTAAGCCACATTTATTGAAAAACAAAAAAATCAGTTCCCTGGCACCAACTGACATTTCAAAAGCCTTAGTCACGACCAGTGACTGTGTAAATAAATATACATGTTTTCAACAGTCACTGGTCATGAAACCGCCCGAAAATAAATCATAGAAGATAAAACCATCTGTGGTCACAGGACATATTAAAATGTGTTGGCTCCCTCTGCTGCAGCCTGACAGTATCTACAAATCTAGAGCACTTGGGAAAGACTTCATGTAGTGAACAACATGCTTTACCTGAGTGGTGATACCCTGGAGCACTGTTGCCTACAAGTACAAGATACACAGCAGTATAAATGGAATATTCAGACCTCCAGTGAAAGGATCTACCACCATTTTCTGGCTGCTCCTGTTAGTAAATGCTACAAGTAGCTCATCTGCCTCCATCCAGGCCTTGATGAGGGATGAGGGAAGGTTTATTTTGATTGGTATATTACCACTTTTGCCTTCAGAACTGCCTTAAATCTTTGCGACATAGTGTCAAAAAGGTGCTGAAAATATTTCTCAGAGATTTTGGTCCATATTAACATGACAGGATCACACAGTTGCTGCTCGTGTTCCACCTGATGACAATGGTGCTCTACTGGATTAAGGCCATTTAAGTACAATGAGCTCACTGTCTGAGATGATCTGAAACAAAAGCAGCCATTGGAAGATGGGTAAACTGCTCATACAGGGATGGACACAATCAGCAACAATCAGAAGTGAAGAACTAGTTTTGTCTTCAACAATTGAAATGCATATTCAGTTGGGTTAAGATCAGGTGACTGGCCTGGCCATTCAAGAATATTCCACTTTAATAAACTCCTGGGTTGCTTTGGCTGTATGTTTTGGGTCATTGTCTGTCTGTATTATGAAACGGCATCCAGTCAATTTGACTGCATTTAAACACCTCAGAATTCATCTGGCTGGTTCTGTCCTGTGCCACATCATCATAAATACTAGTGTCTCAGTGCCAGTGGCAGCCATGCATGCCCAAGCCATCACACTGCCTCTGCCATGTTTTACAGATGTTTTGGTATGCTTTGGACCATGAGCTGTTCCATGCCTTCTCCATACTTTTTTCTTGCCATCATTCTGGTAGAGGTTGATCTTGCTTTCATTTGTCCAATGAATTTCTGTTCATTGGACAGGGTGGCTTGTTTCACCTGCATAAAGAACTCCTTTAACCACATTTTTCACAAAATCTTCCAAATGCAAGCACCACACCTCAAATCAACTCCAGGCCATTTAGTTGTTTAATAGATAATGACATACCCTCAAATCAAAGCTGAGAGTCTACACATTATGTCCATTTGTTTTAGCATGTATTTAATGTTTTGACTGCTCTAGGACAGTAATAATAAGGCATATTTTATTTCATTCATTTATTTTAGTGTGTACCATTTATGCACGTATGTACAGTAGATGATTCTGTGGAAAATTAAGTTGGAAAAAAGTTTGAATTCAATTCCTACTATGCTACATTTCTTTGTACAAACCTCAGTATCTTCAGTTATATTTGGTTAGACAAGTACAACTACAGAGAGCTGAAAGCCACTTCTCTCTGTCATATTTTCAGCAAACCTGCCTATGCATGCCCACAGTGGCCAGGTGTGGATGGGTTTTATGGGCAGGGCAAAGCCAGGTTGTCCCTCGCAGACCACAAATGGGTGTGCCCACACAGAGCCCATGGGTTTGCGTGGTTTTGGAGCCCCTGTGTAGGTTTTCTGTGGGCGCAAGTCAATGTAGGCTAGGCCATGTTTTCCTAGATTTATTATGTTAAGATTAAAATGTTGTATTTATGTTAAGATCAACTTAAATTACACTATAACATAAATAATAACTGCAGCCAGATGCCTCTGGAATATTTTTGCATTGTTGTAATATCAAATCAAATCAATTTATTTATATAGCACTTTTCACAGGATAAAAACCACAAAGTGCTTCACAGTAATATAAAACAGAAATACATAAAATACATTAATAATAAAACACACAGCACAAATCTAATTAAAAGCCAATCTAAATAAATGAGTCTTAAGCTGCTTTTTAAAAGAATAAATACAATCAAGACAACGTAATGATGTAGGGAGAGCATTCCACAACCTGGGGGCCACCGCTCTAAAAGATCTATCTCCTCTGGTCTTAAAATGAGTTCGTGGGACTACCAACAGCCTTTGATTAGAAGATCTCAGGCTGCGAGAGGGAGCGTGGGGTTCTAAAAGATCAGAAATGTAAGCAGGGGCATCACAATTCAAAGCTTTAAAAGTCAGTACCAAGATTTTAAAATGAATTCTAAAATGTACTGGAAGCCAGTGTAATGAACATAACACTGGTGTAATGTGCTCTCTTTTTCGTGTCTTAGTTAAAAGCCTTGCAGCAGCATTCTGGACTAACTGGAGACGGTCAAGATTCCTTTTGCTCAAACAAAGAAAAAGGCTGTTATAATAATCTAAGCGAGAAGAAATAAAAGCATGAATAACCATTTCTAACTCAGACTTAGACAGCAAAGTTCGCAGTTTGGAGATGTTTCTTAGCTGAAAAAGGCAGTTCCTAATTAACTGGCGAGAGTGTTGTTCTAGGGACATGGCAGAATCAAAGATCACACCAAGGTACCTGAGGCTCAGGTGAACATATGAGCCAAGAGAACCAAGATGCTGTTTGATTAGAGATATCTGGTTGTCAGGGGCAATAATTATTGTTTCTGACTTCTCAGAGTTCAACTGTAAAGTAGTTGTCACCAAGCCACTGTTCAATGGAAGCTAAACGTTTAATTAAAGAGGACAGTTTATGGACTTCCATCAGCTTAAAAGAACAATATTATGAATGATCTGAGAACTTCTTCCACCACAGGCTTCAGTTTTGATTGAGAACAGTTGAGAAATAGCTTTGCATTTGTTATAAGAAAGGAGGAAGAAAGAAGAATTGTCCGCTCGTTCACCTTGACATAAACAGATCACAATGTTCAGTTTGACTCAGTAACACCTCAACAGCTTCTAGACCAAAATGAACAATCTTGGACTCTATGGACAGGAGACACCTGGAACAGTTAGGGAAATATCCCCATCATCAGACTAGTGATTGTAAATTGCTTTCAGCTTATTAGAACTATTAATTACAGAGTAAATAAGACTGATTCTAAAAATCAACCATATTTGACATACATTCTGCAGGACAGTAGTTTAATTTTTACCTCTTTCACCATGGCAACCTTCAAAAAAATGACAAAAGGTGTTTCAGTGATGAACACATACCAGTAAACATGGATCCATAGGGCAGAAACTGTTTAATGTATGAGCGTCTTCTCTGCAGTCCCTTCTGCTGAGCGTTGATTGTAAAATTGCCTTATGGTGAATCAGCAGGGGTCGCTGTGGAAATTGCTCTCTGTGGCAAAGTATCCCCGTGTTATGAAAGCACACACGTGAGTTTGTAAACACGAGATAGAGAGAGAGAGAGAGTGGAGGAGGACGGCCATTCTCCCAGCTCAGTAATATGAGGCCTTCTTACTTTCCTTTGGCGCTGTTTGCCAACATCCTGTGTCTGTGTGAGAGCTACACCCTCAGGAGCTCCGTGTCCTGGGTGGTGTCCTCCAACGATGTGGTGGAGGACGGAGACTTGTCGGAGGAGGTCGCCCCGGCGCTGCTGGTGGACAGTGCGGGGCTGTGGAAGCAGGCGTATCCGTCCTCCAACGTCCTCGGAGACAGCGTGGAGAGCCCCGGAGAGCTGGTCAAGCCCGAGGGCGACAGCGCCGCACAGCTTTCCTCTCGCCTGTTTTCATATCGGTTAGAGAAGGTGAAGAAGTCCGCCAGCAGCACTCCTCCCCCGCACCAAGACACAGCAAAGACTGCCAGATACATATCTCATTACAGTGACTGGGGGTACCTGGCCACCATTTCCACTCAAGACAAGGTAACGCACACAGAGGGGATAGTGGTCCCGGTTCAGGATTTCTTTGCGCATTTAAGCGGAACACGCCCATGTTCTCACCATAATATGAAAAAGATACCCCTCTATCTTTGTGCGTGGACCCTTTGATTTTACACGAAACACTATCAGCTTTTTAAATACACTGATGAAGATTTGAAGCAAATTCGCCAGTAAAAATCAAACGCATATGCAGGAAATCACACCGAGTGACAAGTCCTGAAAATAGCCTTAAAAAAATCCCCTTACGCAAGACCAGAACTGCGATCAGCCCGAAGTGCCTTTTGGGATACACCCTGCGTATGTAATGTGAATTTAACTGAGAAATAGCTTCAGTCTAATGGGTGTCCTTCTCGAGCTTCTCCCATCTCAACAAACGAGCTCCATCTGTTTGTGTTAAACTATTTTAAAATGGAGCTCATGAATTTGCTGTTG